TGTTAAAAAAATAACTCGTCGTATGGCCAACGTTTCTCCAGTAAACAGGATGAGTCATAAATACCGTTAAGATAAAAAGTTTCAATATTCTTGCGGCACTTTTATCAAATAGACTAATTATTTTCCTGGCAGTGGAGGACAGTTCGAAGTTTTTACTGATAACTGTTGATAAATAGTGTTAAAAACTATCACTATTTACTCCTACAAAGAAAATTTGTCATTTCTAATTCTTAAAAAGATACTTTCAGAAATTCTTCAATAGGCTCTCTCCGAGATATACCTTTTTTCATCTATATCGTTTAATACTACACCTACGACAGTTCTATATTAATTCCAATCTTCAGAGCTGTTTCAGCAGTTCATTTAATAGAAATTGATCTGTTCGAGCTCAAGATGAGCAGTAAAGAGCTTTTTAGGTGGTTTTGCTTCACACTTAATTCTCTTAAAACTAAGTGTAAGTGAGTGCACGGAGGTACTACAGTTCAATTCTAGGTTTTTTTGTTAGTTCAATACATCACCGATTATAGTGTTGTTCAGATCATATGGAAGAGAGTCCCAGAAAACGTCTGATTTCTCCCAAACAACGCTCCGCTTGCATCAGTTAATAGAACAGAAAAGGATGTTCAGTGAAATCCCCTAATTAGGTAACTTAATTAGGTTGAATAAAAAAATAGTCCAATTCTAGTATGCGGTTCTCGCAAAATGTCGTAGGTTTATTTAATACATGCAAATTTTTGAATGATGCATATTTCGGAACATTGAAAATATTATTTTTTTGAATAGTTTGGTCTTACATAGAAGAATTCACTAATAATCAAATATCTCGACAAGAACACAACAAAATCATGAAACCTTTGAAGGTTGCTACAGTTCAGTGATCTCCTACTACTGAGTGAAATATGAGCTCGAAAATGTTTTTAGCCATTGCAAAAAATGCTTTGTTTCTGTATTAAAGGATATGGTAAGCTTCTGACTATGAGGCGGGCTGAGAACCTTCGACTTTTAAAAAACATTCAGTTTGTTCCCACCAAATCATATTTTTTATTTAAAAAGAAGGTTGTAAAATGAAAAAAGCTTGTTCAGCGTTCCCTCCCATTTTCAATTTTCAAAAAGAAATCCGTTGCATCCCAAACGTTTTTTATCTTTGTCATATTCCTGGGAAATAATGGCAGCTTTGAAAAATATTTGTAAACTTTTCTCTTATGAATGAACACTTTGAACGGTTCGACTCATATAAAAATCTATTCACACACTTACTAAACACTGTTCTGGTTGAGTATTAGTTTCAGTTTCATCCTAGAACTGTTTCTTTATCCGAGAATAGTACTCACTCATGTAAAAACATAAATAATCATCATTGTCTGTTATTAAAAACTAGTGAAGTAGTACGTGATAAATACAACGTCATTGATTATATCGTGTAGCTTTTTGATAGAAAACAACTGATTACTCGTTATTATTTTCATGTAATCGACTATTTTCAATTACTTTTTGATTATCCAATAGAACTTTGTTTTACATCGATTGTAACTGTGAAAAGCTTTGTGTTCTATCGATCTTGCAATGTCTGCGAAATGGAGCTGATTCAGTATGTTTTCGGTAAAACTTGATTTTGAGAAAAAGGCTATTAACGTAAGATATTGTTTTTTCAATATTATGGATAATTTATTCTTCGATGAATAGTTAGAAACTCTTGCAGTGACACATCGACGTTGTTTGAAAAGACTTCTTATTGTAATAGTACTGTTTTTATGGTTTTTTTTGACTTAAACTAGTTTTATAATTCATATTTTCATTTCCTAAAAGATTACAAAATTTCATTTTAGTCTAATTCAAGAAGGAATTATTTATTTCGAAATGTTAAAGAACTTATACTGATCATTGATCAGGAGTGGTCCTTCCATTCAATTGAACATCTTTCGACAATTGTTAATTTATCGAGTCTACAGAAATTGTTTTTGGATTTTCGATGTGAGTGTATATTTGTTGCCAGCTTGGATGACGAAATGGAAACTCTGTTCAAAAGAGCATGGAATCTCGGTTCAATTCAAATAATCTGTAACCATTCTGAAAGAATCAAGCTGATAACTTTTAATGCTATCTGTTTGAAATTACCTCATCATATAAAACGTCTTGATACTGATATCACGTATATGAACGACGTAAAAGTAATTTTGGAAAGAGCCGAACATTTATCAAGTATCACATTTCGAAAACCTAACCCACAGGCTTTTGCGAACGAGGTCACTGAATGGCTCTCGCGAATGAAAAGAGAATTTGCATATAAGATAGAGTGGCCTTTAGGAAGAGACTATGGCTCAGATTTCGACATTGTTTATGCCTCTCCGGTACACTTTTGGCTTGGCAAGAGCATGAATAAGCAATCGCACAGATCAGTTAGTCACAAACGTACCAAGCGAACGCATCACTATCATTACTCATGATATATTGGTTTTATGCTTCTTGACACGCTTGATTTCAAATTTTCATTAGCATACCAATCAACTTATTGAATGATTCATCGTTAAATAAAAGTCGAAATATTTGTAATTATAGTAATTTTTTTCATCAATAAAGATATAGCTTGAAAAACTTGTGGGTGTAGGTCTTCTCTTCAAGCGTACTCACACTCCAAGTGCAATTGTTGCAGCGGTATTTTATTTAATTCAAATGCTTGTTCAAAATAATCACGTGGATAATCGAAGACGTTCAACACTTAAGCTATCTTTTTTTTTCAAAAGAAGTATTTCTATTTAAAATAAAATTTTTACTAAAGAATTCGATTATTGCTCAAAACAGAGTACTTCATTCACGAAATCTTGTTAGAATTCTTAAATTGAGAAGTAGATTATTTATATAAAGAATTTCTTGTAACGAACATCCAAGTGAATTATTAATATGAATAACAATTCTTTTGAAAACGACTTGTTTCATAAGACATTGATAGTTTTTCTAAAGTTCGACGCTTATCATTTAGAAAAAAAGAGTTTTGAAGGCTTTAAATAAGTAAGACTATAGAACAATTTTATTCTCATATTTCAAATATCGATGAATAAAAATGTTTTATCAATTGGTGTTTATGAGAAACACTATTATGTTTAGAAAATAAGATTGATTAACTCGTGAACATCAGACTGAGATATTCACATCATCAGATTTAATATAGTTCAAACTGAAAATTTTCAATGAGTTCTCTAAAAGATTTATTTTTTGAAAATAAAAATATAAGAAAAGAGAACTTTACAAAATTGTCTGAAGATCATTTTAACTAATTTTGAATTTTTCCATATTAGTTATAATGATTGCATAATTAACTTGATTCATGGGAGCATTTTAAAATGAACTGAAGTTGAACTTATTTTTCAAAAATTATTTGCTTCGAGTTTCGATTGAGTTTCAAAATGCGAACTTTTTTATGAAAACAACAACAATTGAGTTTTAAGATAAAACATTTATTGACGAATTAACATATAGAGAGATAATAAACCCTTGAGATATGAAAATCCACCTAAGTAGAAAGATTATTTCTTCGATCAAAGTATTTTTTTTTCTCCTAAAATTAATCTAAAAAATTCGGATTATGTATCTAAAGAGGATGAATTTTTATCGAAAGCATCCGTTTTGTCTTCGTTTCTGCTGGGTAACTAAAATTTTGTTAAGATCTATTTGAATGAATTGTTCTTTACTACAATGTCAACATACGATAAACAAATGAATTTTCGAATGTTGTGCGAGAAAAAAACGAGGAATGTGAAGAATTGAACAAATTTTTCAACGATATTCTTGTACTCGAGCAGAGTGGTAAAGGCATAGGATGAACCCGATAAGAAGTCGAAAGTTTAGCACATATGTTTTTGTTCGTTCTATTTCATGTTTGACCCCTCTAAAACTGTCGACTCGGAGCACTCGAAAACTGTATTCCCATGGGCACTTATTTGTAAGATTATGAGTGTAGCTTTTGTCGGCGACTCACATTCTTCACCTCTTTGAAGTATGCTGACTACCTTTTTATCAATTGTACTGGTGTATATAGTAAAGAAATCAATATTCGTCTATCATAGATCAGGCAAATATCGTTCAATAATTTTCGCGTTTTTTCTCTGTAAAGGACCGAGAACCATTGAGTATCTCGTCGTTCGACGTCTAGTCCTCGTAAACCTGGAAACGAGATCAACATAGTTGCCAGATAAGATGATGTAGAATTGTCAATAATCTACAGTTAATGAACATAATTTAGTTTATAATTCAGCGACATCGAAGTAAATAACAATTCCTGTAGCAGACACATGTAAAGCGATCGAAGATTCGGTATGTTATCATGAAAGAATAAAACGAAGTTCGATATCCAAAGGCAGCGGCTTATTGAGGAACGAAAAAAATGGATAAAAAGCTGTTAGCGTAATCCCTGCGGGATTAAAATGTGAAACACGATCTAGCTGCTTTTCCTAATTGCAGGGAAATTTTTCAAATTTATCTTTTTCGGAGCACATTTCTAAAATATTGTTTTACCCATTCCTTCAAAACTGGAATCAAAAATTAGTTTAT